CGGCGGTACCGCCACAGGGGTAAACGGCGGGAGGCCTCGACCGGTACCGCCAGCCGCTCCCTCGGCCCGGCGGGATCCCCGGGGCTGCCGCCAGCCCGTCTCGGGCGCTGACCGGTGGGGCCGTGCCTTTCCCTGACGTTTTTCTCGTTATCTTTGTTTTTAGAAGGAAAATCGGAGTCGTCCGCGCCCGTCCGCCGCTCTCCGAGCCGGCCCGGCCCCTCGGGAGAGAGACTGCTCCGCCGCTTCTCCTCAGCCGTCTCTGGGGGGCTGACGGGGGCTCTTCTTCCTCAGATGCGGTGGTGGAGCCCATGAGGATGGAGGCCCGGGACGCGGCGCGGGCCAACCACGGCTCCGTGTTCAAGGCCTTTCCCCTGCCCTCAAGAGCCAGCCTGCGGGATCCGCTCTCTCAGCCGGACAGCAAGGTGCGGAGGCCGGCTGATCCTCGCCTGCGCTCCCCGGGCCCCGGCGTTGCTGCGGCGAGCTCCCCCCCCGGATCGCTGCCTGGGGGGGGCACATGTGGTTTTGGGGGCTAGTGGCTTCTCTGGCCCCCTTTCGCCCTTCCTTTGGTGTCCCTGTGGGTCGGAGGCGCCAGTGGGCAGGGTCTATCTGCATAGCATCCCCTGAGCCTTGAGTTCAAAACCTCCCAGGTGGTTTTGATAGCCCCATCTCGGTAACGCCCAGCACTTCTGCGCTGCGAGAGCCCCGCTTGCGCTGTTAGTTACTGGCGAGCGTATAAAATGGAAATCACGTGTGGAATCTGCCTGTGGATGGTAAACCCGCGCGTGGGTGTGCTCGGCTTACGGCCTCGGCAAGTGCGTGCACGTATCTTGACGCTGCAGTTGTGTCTCGACGAGTTGCCAGCGTTGCTGTGAAGCTGATAATTTTTGCCCTGTAACAAGATGAAATCAGCATTTGGTTTTTCTCTCATTAAAACTGCTATCACACCGGCAGAGTGGATTTTAGGAGAGGACGGGAGAGCGAGTGACACTTTGGCTGCATTGTCAGACCAGCACCGGTGTGTTATTACACCAGTCTACTTCAGTAATCGTTAATTTATAACGATGTGATTGGGGAGGAGCTGTAATGTGTCGCGTCCCACCCTGTAGTTTTACTGCACCTGGGGTTTAAGATTGAGCTGTGCTTTCTTCTAACAAAAAGCTGCGATCTTCTCACACAGTTTTTACCCAACAAGATCAGTGGTTTCGCTTGCCCTGCTGGAAATGCATCCTGCGCTCTCAATTACAGCCCAGGTAAGACATTGTTTTCTGCCCTGGAGTGTCAGTTTTTTGGCTGTTCCCTCCCCTAAGCAGCTTGGGGAGGAATATGTGGCACTTTACTGACTGCTGCCGTGTTTCTCGCCTGCAGAAGTCCCCTGCCCCGAGAGCTACCGGGCAGTGGGGGAGCCTCGAGCCTTTGGCTCCAGTGCCAACGGGCAGTGGAGGGGCTTGATTCCCCCTCTGGGCTCCGTGCCACAGAAGCCGAGGGTGAGCCGAGGCTCTTACCTAGAAGCTCGCAAAAACCCCAGGTACGTACAGATCCCCTCCGCTTTTAACCCTCCCTGCAGAGTCCTGTGGGAGCTTCAGGTGGGAATTTTAGCCATACAAGCCACTGGTATCAATACAGAACGAATTCAGGGTGGAAATAGTTGCATGGGTCAAGGTTGGCCGGGTCTGTAGGTACCTTTTGGTGTTTATAACCTCCTCGTGGCAAAGACAAAGGTTGTGAGCACTGGTTTTGAGAGTAGAAGTAGTGCACAGCCTGGAGGAACCTGTCTCTTATAGAAGATAGTGGTGTAACAGACCGGTTTTGAGTGTATCAGTGTATTGTGATGGGAACAGGAACATTGTTGCACCACTGGGAAATTGGGGGAGAAATAACCTGTCGTCGTTTTCTGATGAAAATGTGCTGGTTAGTGCCTGCGGTG